ATTAAATTGTTACTCATCACTGTATAATATGAATCCAAAAAATAACATTATTTTTACAAGTATCATAAACATTCATTATATAATAGACTTATTAAACATTTATATTATTTTAGCAAAGGATTATTAAAAGAAACATATGATAATTAATTGCAGAAGATTGTTTAAAATGGAATGAAACAAAAATAATTATAAGTGGAAAAACCAAATTTTATTAAATTAATTACTCAAATACACATTTTTAAAATAAATTCAACTATTTTATATCCCCTTTTTAAATAATAAGAAACATATCTATTTTAATATTACAAACCATTAAGAGAAAAGAAATAATTTACTGTTTATAGAAATTTGGATTGCCCTGAAGGTAGAGAATAATCAGATTTTCCTCATCTTTATTATCTTAAAAATAAAGAAAATTAAACAATCTTAGTAGCCATTTAATATGAGATAAAAGGGGATATTCTTATCTTCTAAGAAAATTAAGAGAAATTGATAAAATATGATGATAATTATTTAGGACTTATTGAATTTAAGAATTAAGGCAAAGAATTTATTGTTTATGATGATGGTTATCCAGAATATATGGAAAATAGTTTTCCTTAATGGGTTGGTAGGAAAAAAAGAAGAATGCTGATCTTTGATTACTTTTCAGAAAAAAGATATGATAAACCAAGATTGTTTGATGTGAAATGTTACAATATAAATACTAATTAATATGATGGTAATATTATTATATATATATATTTAATAAGAAATAATAACTAAAGAACCATAATATGATGAATCTAAAGGTTCTTTTACTTTAAAATTAAGTAATATTGCTATTACTCCATCAACCAGAAATTTTGTATTACAAAAAAAAGGAGAAAATAATAATATAGATTAAGAAATCTATTTATGTCATGGAAAATAAAATAGACATACCTTTAACTTAGATTTGCATGAAGGAATTAGTGTATTTTAAGGTTTTTGTATTTCTATTGTATCAATATGTTCAAAGGGTATTTATGAATGAATTCATAATAATTTATATTTTTGATTTAAACATATGCAACAGCACTCTGAATCAGATGATCATTCTCCTGTTCATGTAATCTAGTTTTAAGATAAGAATACTGAGATTGAGTCGGAAGCCTTATGGGATAGGGAAGATGGTTAGCAAGAATATCATATTCAAATAAACTCTGATCGAATTTTAGACATTTTTCAATCCATAGAATCATAGATTGATCCATTTACTTGTGTTTTCAAAACAAATCAATAGATGATTGTTATGTATAAATAGAAATTGCCATTACTAAAAAGATTAGGATATTTGATATGTAAAAATGAAACAAAATATTGCATAATTCTAATAAAATTAGAGAATTAGAATTAATTATTGATTAAATCTCTAAAAGGAGTATAAAATTTAAATTAAAAAGGACTCTGAAATAAATGATGGTATCATGAAAAAAATAGGAAATGCAATTTATCAATTTACAGATAAAAATTAACATCTATCACATATTGATGAAATTATGTAAGTATAAATTAATATAAGACATGAAGATTCGAGATTCAATCCATTTCATTTAGATAGTTTGAGTGTTGCTATGATTTATAAATATCTCCAAGATAAAATTATAATACCAGAAAAATTAAATATGAAATAACTCTATAATTTAGTAGAAAAAGAACATGATAAAATAAAAGAAGAACCATTATTAATTAAATCAATTTAAGTTAGTTAATTTCATATCTTTACAATTGAGCGTTTTATTTTTAATAAGATATTTGATTAGATGATGAATCAATATATAGAAAAATATTAATAGAGATAGGAATAAGTAGATTAAAAGAAAATACAATTAAGAAAAAGATATTCTTAAGAAGATTTAATAAATTAATTAGAAATTAAAAATTAATATTTACCACAATCATAAATACCATATTTTGAGGCAATAAATGAATTGAAATTAATTAGTTTTTACAGAACTCCAACTGAAATGTTGAAATAATTTCAATATGTTTTAGTATTGATTAGAGGAGTTGCTTTTGAATGCAATCAAAAAGAAGAAATTATTGCTATGGATGATGAATTGCCAATATTAATTTGGATAGCATTAATGAGTGATGTTCCTAATCTCTATGCAAAAATATTCTTTGTTGATGATTATATATAAGAAATTGAAAATGAAAAGCGTATCTTAACTAATCTGAGAGTTTCATTAGATTATATTTCTAAAGAATGGAAATTATGATATTATTTATGTTATAATTGATTAATTTTAATCCATTATTTATTAGAAACTTAATATTTTTTTTAGATTAAAATTCTAATTATGAATTAATAATATATTTGTTATATTAAAAATTTGAATTAACTTATGAACATTTATTAACCAAATCAATCAGCACTTACAAATGCATTTAAATCATAGGCTACTCTAACAGAATAGAAGATCATCTTTTTAGAGTAGTCATTAAATAAGGCATAAAGAGATGTAAATAATTATTGTATATAATATATAGCTAAATGATGTTAGATTTCAATAAAACCATTTAAAGTCTAAAAGAGAAGATTTAATTTAGAATTATCATAAAACAAATAGAAAACTCTTAAAATAAGTAGATGAATTATAATAATTGATTAATAATAATTAATAGTACATCAGATTAGATTAATTAATTACTGCTTTTAAAAATAATAATTGGAATGATCATATAGCAAGATATCTACATGAGAATAATAAGTTAACATCTTAAAAAATAAAAATAATTTAAAAAATTATATTAACTGATTAATAACTAAATGATTGGAGAGAATAAATAAACATGATTTAAGAGGATATTAATGGATTACATGATTAAAATAGTGCTTTGATTATTGAATTTGAAGAATTAGATGAAGTAATTCATTAATGGAATGGTTCAGCTATAGAACCAATTAGCAAAATATATCAAATAAAAAAATAGTTAAATGAACTTAGAGCAAGTTATTTAGATTTATCAAGTGAAAGATAAAGAAAAGAATCTAATTTAAATGAATTAAAATCTTAAGTTGATTCAATTTAAGAGAATCTAAATTAATTGAGAAAAGAATAAATACCAATTTTTTAAGAAATTGATTTTCAACTTAAATAAAGTATTTAATTTTGGTTTTCACCAGATTTAGTTTATAAGATATTTTTAGATATATTTAATGATTATGTTGATTTTAATAAAGATAAAATTGATGAAGTATTTAGTATATTAATGTAAATTCATGATAAAATAGTTGGATGTTGTTTTAGTCTATTACAAAAACATATTAAATTTGAAGAAAGATAATAATTATTTGATATGAATTTTCAAGATGCTATTAATTTAATTAATTAATATTAATAATGGTTCAAAGAAATAGATGTTTAAGATTTTGAATGTTTGCTAGGTATTTATTGATTAATTAGAAGTTTAAAAAATTAATAATCATTAATTTATGAGTATCATTGAATAGAAGAGTTAGCGATTCCAGGCTGTTTTACAGAAATAAATACGAATTTTTAGTTGTACCCAAGAACACACAAGTCTTAAGTATGGTTATCATAGATTCTGCTTAGAGCTCAATAAATTGAGCTAGAAAGATAAGTTCATAAGTTATTGTATGAATAATCGATGATACAGTGCAATTATCAACGTTTAGAATCCTAGTTACAACAACTCAAGATTGCTGGGCCTATCCTTATAATGAACACCTAAAGTTATCAATTAGAACAAATATTAGATAGAATAAATACTATTGAAATTATTTAAAAGAAAAATAAATAGTAAATAGAATTGAATTATCCTCAATAAATTTCAGTTATTGAATCATAAATAATTCAATATTAAAATTAATTTTAATAGTTGATTGAATAATTATTAACTATTAAATCAGATATAAAATTAGTGTATAATTAAGATGTTGATTAAGATGAAGCTTTTTTATAAATGGAACTTCAATAACTCAATTAGGAATTACATACTTAAGAATTATTATTTTCTAAATCTAAAAATGAATGTGAAATTAAATTATAATAATTTGATTATGAAGAAAGTAATAATATTTAATATTAATATAAAGATGCTATTTTAAATAGAATTGAAACTATATCATAAGCAATGAATGATTATCGTAATTAAAAGCCTATTAAAGAAAACATTCCTCCTACAGATTTACATTCTAAACGTTAATCTTTAGATAATAGTATTTTTGACAACAATAATAAATCAAATTTAAAATATTCTTGTCATGAAAATACAACAGATAGAAGTCATTCAAGATCAAGATCAGCTTTGGGTGCAAATTCATCATCTAATTCTTTAAGAAATTTTTTGAATTTTTAAAGTCCATCCCAATTAAAACGAACTAAATTAACACTAATTCATAATCATTCCAATAGAAACTCATAAAAATAATCAATAAACTCTTCTGTTCAAAAGATAGATGATATCACCCTATTATCACCAAATAAAAGTTTTATTTCTAATAAAAATTAATAAATCTAATCTATAAAGACATTTAAAGTATACAAAAGAACAGTCTAAAATACTCTCATATAGAAACTTTAAGAGGTTAACAATTATGTACCAAAGTAAATTCAATTATTATTATATTATAGATTTGTTAAATATAATGAAAAAATGAAATGCATAGAATTTTATAATGCTAATAGAATTGGAAGTGATTTAGGTGTCAAAGATTCAGCTTTGAATATCAAATAAATAGTTGGAATAACATAATAACTAGTTAAAGGTGTTATTAAATAAAGTAATCATTATATATATATATATTTATAGATTTCACTTTCTATGGACTATTTTTATTACTTTAGAAAAATCAAAAAGTAGAAATTCTATTTGCTAAATAAGAAGAATTAATTTAATTCTTGAACATCTTGAAGTGAATACAATCATTATATAATTTTTTCTTAATAATAATGTTATTTTCTTAAAGATAATCAACCTAATTTGAGAATATAGAATCATCAACATTTAATATGATACCTTAAGTGTCTTCACGTTCTAGAAACTTATCTAGTGATAGATAATAAATAAATGAAAGATCTATTAAACTATCAATAGAGAATAGTAGATAAAGACATAAAGCATATTCTGTTGAAAAATCAGTAAACTATTTCAAATAAATATTGATAGTTAAATTTAAGCTCTTAGAATTAAAAGGTTGAAAATTTAGTGGCTTCGTGGATACAATAAAAGAATTCATCATCTCTCAACTCAAGTTCAAATAATGTTCAACCAAGTATACTCTTTCTTTGAATAATTTAGTTTCATAATTTGAAAGTCAAGGAAGATAATCAAATCGTCCTCATATTATAATAGAAGAAGATCTCTTATTCACAGAAGATGGAGATTAATAGAATGGAATTTCATCCAATAAAGTCAATTAAAATAAACATAAAACACCTAGTACTACACGTCCTCATGCTAAAAGTATAAAAGAATAATGTATTCTATTTATTTATGAAGAAAGTTTTGATGTTAAAAAAAATTTTATAGAAAGAAATATTCCTAAAAAAACCTTGAACTCTTATGCTCAACGTCCATAAACCACAAAAATGCATACTTCTACTTAAGTTAAATCTTCGCCTTTAGTTTAAAAAGACCATTCTCTTCACAATCCAGTTAAATACTCACAGATTGAATAAACTAAATTTAGTAATCTTTATAGTGGATCAAATAGTTATTCCAATAATATTAACAATAGAAATAAACAATATCATTACTAAAAAATTGTTAAGAAAGTTAATATAACTTCAAATGCAGAATTCTAATTGGATAATCAATGTATACCTGATTTGATTAGATTAAAAGAATTGATTTTGTCAACATATCTAAAATAAAATAGATCTCTTATTAGTTCATAAAATTAAATAGTTAAGTACTATATTTATAATAATAAATTAGAAATTTTGATGAAATAGTATCAATATTAAAATAAGATTTCCCTAATCATTATTGAACAATGTGTTTAAGTTCTTTCAAATATATTATATATTATAAATCTTATAAATATTATTATAAAATTCTTTTATTAAATTTCAGATTTAAGAATTATTACTTAAATAAAATTAAATATGTATGTTGATTTAAAATCAACAAGTAAGTTTAAATTTCAAAAAAAAGCTATTATAATTATTGCTCTTTTAATTTCATGAAAATAATAGGCCATTATATTTCTGAGTATAGATTTTAATGGATTAGGAATGATAAAAATAGATTTTAGAATAAGAGTACAATATATTTATAAACATCATTAAAATGTCTTCAATTAATCCAAGAACCCTTAATTAGGTCCAGCTCTGGAATGCTTTTATTTTACATAATTCAAAGCTCTTTACGAATTGAGCCTTAATTTTCTAATAATATAGGCTGTTATAATTGTCACTGATCTACTCTAACCCCCATAACAATGAACTAAAATATTTTTATCTTAAGCAATTATTGAATCAATATAGTCTATGCACTCCTCAAAATATTATCTTATGTTGGTTTCTGGTTTGTCCTCAATCGAAATACATTTATAGGAAAATTTAGAAGGGAAATATTCAGGTAAATCGCCAATTATTAGTATATTAGAGATTTAGTTCTTGTTGAGCCAATTTTAGTCTTTGGCATAAACAACTGATGACAAATACACATGGGGAATTATTTCTGACATTAGTAAAAATAAATAATATTAATAAATTTAGGAGAGATATTAATAAAATCTCTCAATAAATATTAATTTAGAATCAATTCTGATAATTGTGAATATTAATCCATTTAATTTATGAGAATCTTTACTGAAACATCAGAATTATTGAATTAGAGTAATTGACATAGGAGTAAATAATAACATATAAAATTATTTATATTTTATTATTGATGGGAGAAAGGATAGATTGGATCATAAAATTAAATATATTATTAATAAAATATTTATTTATGCAGCCAGCTTCAATATTTAATGGAAAATATATAGTTTAAAAGAAGATATCATCTGGATCTTTTGGAGTAGTTCTATTGGGACATGATAAGGATAAGAATATAGATGTGGCAATAAAAATAGAGAAGGAAGAGAATGAGGATGTGCGTTCTTTAGAAAGGGAAGTTCAAGTTTTGGAAAGATTAAATGGAATTGAGGGAGTTCCTTAATTATATTGGCATGGTGAGTAGGATGATTATAATATTATTGTTATGTAAATTTTGGGAAAGGATTTAGCATATTATATGAAAAGCAAAAAGAAATTTTCATTTAAAACAGCAATCTAATTAGGAATTTAAATAGTAAAAGTTTTAGAGAGAATTCATAATAAGGGAGTTGTACATAGAGATTTAAAACCAGAGAATATATTGTTTGGGATTGATGATGAATTTTCTAAAATTTATGTGATTGATTTTGGAATTAGTAAAATATTTCGAGATAAAAATGGAAAGATTCAGTAATATTCAATAATATAGACAGTCCTTTTCGTGATAATACATCTTTTATAGGAACAACTAGATATGCTTCTATAGCTGCACATAAGGGTTATGAATTGAGTAGAAAAGATGATATTGAATCATTGATTTATGTTTTGTTATACTTTATGAAAGGGTAATGGAATAGTGTATTATAAAAAGTCTAGGCAGTTACCATGGCAAAATATGTAGAATGTCAGTGATGAGGAAAGAACAGTTAAAGTAGGAGAAATGAAGATGTCCATAGATCCTAAAGAATTATGTAAAGATGTACCAATCGAATTTGCTATAATACTTGAGTACTTATTTCAATAATAATTTAGATATCTTAAATAATTGGAATATTAAAGTGAACCTAATTATAATTTTGTGTATTAATAGTTTGAAAAAGCTGCAGGTAATTTGGGTATTTAATTGGATTATTCATTTGATTGGGATTAGTAATAACCAATGAAAGTATCATAAAATACTCATTCAGAAATTATGTAAAGATCTACTACTTTGAATTAACAATTATAATTACCATCTACAGGCGAAATGAAAAAATCATTAGATAAACAAGGAAGCAATCTGATCAGATAGTATAAATCCATATAAATCTGATTAGAATGAGTAATAATCAATTCTTAGCTCCTCCTCTATCTAATTAGTTACAACCTCATACACTAAAAAGACAAGATTCATCTCAATAACCAAGTATAGTATCAGGTAGTGTTATGTTGAGTACATATAATTCAATAAGACCAATATATTAATCTTCATAGCTTGGTGTTGATGTTAAGCTAAGTGTGGATACAATGCCTAAAGAATTAATTTAAGAATAGAGGAAAACAAATGATCCAGCATAATAGAAAAATGTTCAAAATCCTTATACTGAAACAGTTGGATGGAAGGATTCAATTTTTGAGGAGAATTTTGATGAAATACCGTTATCTAAAAAATATGGAATACTTTAATAGAAAGGTGTTGATATGTAGAAAAAATTATTATTTATAATTAGGTATAGAAAACCAATGCATTCTAGTGCTAGTCCAAATAGACAAAAGAAAAAAAATTGAATTTTTATTTTAGATTAATTTGATTTCTAAATTTAGTTTATTTTTAATAATTTTAACTTTAAGTCAAGTTTGAAAAATTCATTAAAAATTATATAATTTATTTTATTATGATACTTATGAAGTAGTATAAATAAATGGTTAGAGAGTAATTTCATTTAGATCAAATAATCTTTATTATATTCATTTGTTTGATTAATTAACACTCACTATTTTTGTTAAATAAATTTGTTAAAAAAATGAATCCAAATACACCTTTCAATGAACGTTTCTTCAAGATTCAAGAGAAATTAAATTCAATTCCTCTACATCATAATACTTCTAAAGCTCATAGAATCGATACCATAAATTCTAGAGTTACAACTGTAGAGGAGAGAATTTAGGATACAATAACATCTTATAATAGAAAATTAGTAATAGTCTAATAAAGATTAAAAAGCATACTTTGAAAGATGAGATAATGAGACTTTAAAAATAGATTGAAGAAGAAAATAATGTATTTGAAACATAATTTGAGTAAAGAGTTCGTGAAATTGCTGCATTTGAAAGCAGAATAACAACTAAATTAGAATAAGAAATAGCATTAAGAAGAGATGGAAATTTAAAATTGCAAGGGTATTTGGATGAAAAAGTAAAATAAAGAATTTATTATAATATAGGTTGTCTACTTAAAATCTGATATACAAACAGAGAGTAAAATCAGATAAGAATAAATTGAGAATATAACTACCTCATTAGAAAATGATTTGCCTAAGTTATATGATATGGTTAAAACTGAAGGATAAGATAGAGAAGATAGTGATAATGGAACATTAAGAAGATCTGGAGATGAGATTAGAAGATTGAATGAAGGTTTAACAAATCAAAAATAGTTACGGTATAAATAATAATTTATATTCTATTTTAGAGAAGAATCAGAGACAGCTATCTTTGAAATGTTAAAGGATTTAGTATCTAGAGTGAAGAGTGAAATAGAAGAAGAAAAGAAATTAAGAGAAGAATCATAAGAATCACTTTTAGGTTTATTAGAGGATGCTGCAAATAAAATTTATAGAGCAGCAAAAGATTGATATATTATACAAATCAATATTAAAATAAATTTTATTTAATATCATATTCATTTATTTTATTTATGTTTTCTATGAATTTTATTCATAACTTTATTTAATCGAGCTATTTCATTTGCATTATTATGCTTCAAAAAATATTCAAAATTCCTAACTTTCTCAAAACCTTCAAAAATATCCAAATATTATCCAAACTTTTTTCCTGGATCTTCATCTTAAGTTCTATTTACATATAATTGTTCTATTGAAAAATCATTAACTTTTATTCCTGCTTGTTTTGTTTACTTTTTTTATTCTCCCCTTTGGAATTCTCCAACTTTTTTATCAGAATCTAAAAAACTCTTATTGCTAAGATGAGTATTTTGATGATTTTAGATTCTTAAATTTGGTTACAATTATTAAGGTCCTTAATTAAAACGACTCTAATATTTATTAGATCTCTCTGCTTTCTAAATTTAATTAATAATTTCTAAAATTCTATTTCTCTATATATATATATAAATAGATTTTACAATTTCATCATCCTGTAATGCATCTGTGCAAGCTTAAAATGATAATTTTCTTTAAAGTTAACATACAGTTTTTTATTATTTTAATGGAGCTAATAGAGTATTACTTTTTAATTCTTTATCTACTTTATCTGTATTTTCAAGAATTTCATCATTTTCATCTTCTATAAAACTAGTACCTATAGATAATTTAATCATATCAATTATTACCATCATCATTACTTTCCCCTGAGTATTTTAACTTATCTATTTATTCTTTCATCATTTATGTTTTACACATATACAAATAGATACTATTTTAAATATCACATGATTCTCTTCTTGTTTGAATTTTACGTTCTAACTTTCTTGTATATTTAACTCTATCAGAGGGAATATTTCTTCTGTAATTCAACAATACTTTAGATCTATTTGGATAACCACATACCATACTAATATAATATTTTATAATTACGGGCATTCAAGAATAATATGTGTAGATTTATTGCAGGCTCTACATGTCACATCTACTAATTCTTATTTATTCATAAAGGAGATTTATTGAACCAATTCACAGTATTTATACTAATAATATATTTCTAATTACATAATCATTCTTATGTTAAGATATTATTTCCATAAATTAAGACCTATCAATTTTTAATACATATGAAAATTAATTTGATTTACATGACATCTGATAAGCTTATGCTTAAAAGAACTCTAAAACACCAAAGGATGATCCTTCATTTTTAATTGTTTCCAAAACCTTTATTGTTTATTATTTATTTTTCAAAGTTATATAAAAAGAGAGATTTCCATTTGATAAAATATAGAGATAATCACTAGGATCATTTTACTATAAGAATATTAATCAATTTTACTTGATATATTGTTGATTCTGGCACAAATTTCTCTTCTATCATTGCTTTAGATAATGATATTAAAAATTATTCACTAAAATTATTTACAAGAAAGCTATTTTTTGAAATTAATTTCATATTAGTATCAATTTTCATTTCCTCAGCTAATTATTTTGGAATCAATTCACTGAATTTGTAAACTTCTCTATCATTATCTTCCATCTGATCACTCCAAACATATTCAAAGTATTTTCTAATTTTCTCAGCCAAATGTTTATTAATCCCTTTAATTCTAATGAATTTTTTAAGGTTGTTCATATCAGTTCTAACTTAAAAGCTTTGTCTACTCCATTCAGCATAAATAGAATTAATATTACCTATAGAGTAACCAAAAACTCCTACTGCAGATAAAGCCATTCCAACTGCAAATACTCTTTCTCTCAAATTCTAAGGTGTAATATCGCCATAACCAATAGTAGTCATTGTTATGATACTCCAATAAAAAGAATGAAGATATTAATTAAACCAGTATTCATTTTCTATATTCTAAGCTTTGATCCAAGATGTTTCATTTGGATTTCCAGTAGAACCTACTAAAAACCAAATGCATGCTGAGAAATGGGCTGCTGCCAATATTGCGTATATTAATTTAACTAAATCTACTATAACAATTTAGATTGCTGTCAATTCTAATCTATCAAAAAGAGTTCTTGAAAATTTAGTTATTTAAAACACTTTTAATATAATTACTAAATCCAGATATTCCAAATCAAATCTTAAACTTATAAAGAATGGGATTACTACAAATATATCAAAGAAGAATGCTATTTTAATAAATTTATTATATTACATGATCTTAAGTAATTTTTAGCTATTTAATATCGATTTTCAATTACTGCTCCCTTATAATAATAACAAGTATTGAATTTTAATAGAATTTCAAGCATAAATGAATATGATGGTAAAACATCAAACATAATTTATCTTGCTTAATAAAATGCATCATTTGATTATTCATCAAATTTAAATGCAATTTTTATGGATACATAAAGTACATTAATATTCAAAATAGTAAGAATATATATGTTCCACCAAATTGAAGCCAAAGATTCAGGTCTCATTATAAATTTCTAATTTCCACAATAAATCTTAAGCAGCTTTGTTTTACGTATTGGAACTAATATGATTTAATTTAAAAAGTGCTTTACTTTTTAAAATCCTGTTGGTTTCTATAATTAGTATTATTCATCATTTTTACTTCATATTTAAAGAAATTTTTTAACAAGTAATAAGAAAAATCAGATGAAACATCACCTATTATTTCAAAAACATTTTTATTGATTAATTTAAAACTAGTAGCAAAGTTTGATTTAGTAATAAAACTTATGAATCTCAAAGTTATCATTAGAATCTCTAAAGCTTTTGTTCTCCAAATTTTATTACTAAATCCAGGACGATCAATATGACTATCAATAAAGATTGGACTTTCCTCTTTGAGATTCATCATAGGTTTATTACTTTGAAAACTTATAGCTCTTATTTTAGGCCCCATATTACAAGTTTAGTTTGATCTAAGTAATATTATTCTATTAACACTTACTTGTTTTTAGAGTCTAAAAGGAGACTCATTATACTTTTGTGATCAATTTGTTTTGATTATCTATTTTCCTAAATATCTCTTAGAATGATTTCTTAATCTTAATCAAAACTTTTTAAAAGAGATCTAACAGAATGTGCCTGATTTTCAGTTTCTAATTTCTCTTCTATTCTAAATAACTTGAGCATTACATATATCAGGATTGAGAGTATTATTTTTCATCTAAATTAATAATAATAATAATAATGGTTTATCAACTTATATATTTAATTAATAAAATAAGTGAATATTTCTAAATTGATGAGTAAAGATACTGGAGAATAAGTAATCTTAATTGATGAAATATTTATATATATAATTAATTAAGTTTATTCATAAACAAGTGAAAATAAGAGCACTTGTAAATTAATGATTTTTGTAGAAATAACAATATTCGAATTCTATGATTTATATAATGAATTATTTACAAACTTCTTGAGATTATTAAATTTTTAGAATTTTAATGTGAGTTTAAAAATCTATATTTTTATTTAAATATAAATTCTGAATGAAACACAATTAACAACTTCCTAATGCCCATTTACGTAAACATTGGACACGATTCGTGAAGACTTATTACAATTAACCAGCTGCCAAAAGAAGAAGATAATAAAGAAGATAAGCAAATGCATTAAGTAATTCTTTAGATATATCTATTTTAGGGGCTTCACCAAGACCTATTGAATTACTTAGACCAGTAGTAAGAGGACAAACAATCAAATATAATGGAGTATAAAAGTTAGGAAGAGGATTCTCATTAATTGAGCTTAAAGAGGCTGGACTTAATGCTTAATTTGCTAGAACAATAGGAATTTCTGTTGATCATAGACGAAGAAACAATAGCTAAGAGGAATTGGCAGTTAATGTTAAAAGAATTAAAGCATACTTATCTAAATTAGTACTCTTCCCAAGAGTAGCAGGCAAACCTAAGAATGGTGTTGTTAAAGATTCAGGAAATGATGTTGTTGCTTAACCTGTTACTTAAAATACTAATCCTGAAGTATATATTATGTTGATAATCTCAAGGTTATTACCTTTTAAAGAACTCCCAGAAGAGAGAAAGCAACAGTAATTTCTAAAGAGCTTAGAGCTAAGAATGTATATCGTAGAATACGATAAGAATGGTATAATGCAAAATTCGTTGGAGTAAAAGAAAAAAGAAAGAATGCTAAAGAATAAAAGAAATGATAAGTGTATAATTGGATATATTAAATATTATTAATTATTGAATTTTCTTGTAAAACCTGAGAAATATAATTTTGGCCATAATGAAAATTGCAGCATTCAAATAAATACATAATTGTATGATTATATATTAAACCTCTTAATATACCATTATTAAATTAATATTTAGAATTTTCAAATATAAAGTTCCGAATAATTCATGTAAAATATACAGTTATGATTTTCAATTTAAGTAATAATCATAATGATGGAATAGTATTAAAAGAAGATTAAATAGAAAAAGACATAAAAATAATTCTCCTGATTAAAACTGTTACTATTTTATGAATATACTTATGATAAAATTATATTTTTATAATTACTATTAATTAATATTATCTAATGGCATAATTTCATAATTAAATAGATGATACTCTGTCTTAGCAATATTTTTAAGAGTAAACTTAGTCAAATATATCACTTGGACTTATTATCAATTATATTTTTGCAGATATAGCCAAAAGACCTAGGTCTTTCAAAATAGGATTATTTACAACATATATAGTCATCACCTTCTTGGGGCTGCTTTAATGTGTGGTTTAATTGAGTCCGCTCATTTTTCTTTAATTAAATGAGTCAACTACTGGCGATACAGATCTTTTATACCTACCTATGGCTGCTGAAAACACGAGCAATTACAGATTAATTAATATGACAGATCTACATTAAGTATCAATTTTAACTATTTTAGCACACAGCTTAAGTCTCAGAATTTCTAGATATATCTCCAAGATGGATGTTTATGTGTAATTTAGGAAAATTAGGAGTTGAATAAAAATTTAGAGCATATTTTTTGATTCTCGATTCCTAACTTGAATAAAGTATTGGAATAGGAAGACGATTAGATATTGACATAATAAATAACAATTAAGTTTATGTATCTGAAACAGGTTTAAGAGGATTAAATGCAAGTAAGGGTGATTAGATTTACTTGAATATTAATATCTTATAATTACTAAAAAATTTTGGGATTGAAAGTGAAAGCAATGAATTTACTCAATAATTAAGATAACCTTTTAAAAATGCCATAAATTAATAATTAGTGACATATTTTAAGGAAGATAATTTTCAGGATAAGGAATACAATATAACAGAACTTGCAATATATTCTTAATCTTATTTGAATTATGTAAAAAGAATTGAATCTACAAGTTTAACTAAAACTATAGCTAAAGAGTATTTTAAATAGAATGTTCGTTAATTAGATAATTATACAGAGGAATAAAAGGAATTTGCATATTAAATAATTGATATAATGTTTCAAAGAAATATGACAAGAGATGCTTATTCAATTAATAAATTTTTAATTAGAGTTTCTAAGTTTTCATCTTTTATTACAATATCATAATTTGAAGATGGATTGTTTGATTTACTTATACAAATTAATGAATTCAATATTAATGCTTAAGTTCATGGAGGTGTTGAATCTCCTAAGGGAAAATGGACAGATGCATTAGGTATGATGGTTTTTATGGATTATAAAAATGCAACAGAAATATTTTTAGAATCATTTTTTAATAAATTTGATCAAGTGATAACAGATAATAAATAGAATAATGAAGGAATGCCTGGAGCTATATCTGAATTAATCCCTGTTAATGACACTTAAAGTTGGGCCAAAAATGCAACAATAAATTTTAAATTGTAGGAATATTCATTAATGGCTAATCTATTATTTAAAAATAGAGGAGAAAAATATGAAACTCCAAGAATAGCTAAGGATGCCATTATTAAAACAACAAATGAATTTTTTAGTGGAGCAGGATATAATTATCCAGTTTAAATTACAGCACCTTTAGGATTTACAATTGGATTATATCATTTAATGAAGAATTTTATAGAAAATTTATTGGGAGTTGCAACAATGATTTTATTAATGTTGTCAATATTATTGATTTATTCTTTAATGATAGGAGATATAGAAGAGAAAACTTATGAGTTTGGTATGCTTAGAGCATTAGGATTTAAGAAATCATAGTTAATCGTATTGTTGATGTTATAGGCATTAACATTTGCAAGTTAGTATAATTATTATAATATTTTATTATAGTTCCTGGATTGTTTTTGGGTTTGGTCACTTGTTATTTAATTAATTCTTTAATAAGTATGTATATTTTTGATATGTCACTTTTACTTACAACATATTCCATCCCATTTTCAGCTTTGGTATTTTAAATAAGTTTAGGAATAACTATGCCAATAATTAGTAACATTTTGCCAATTAAGAAGGCATTATCAAAAACTCTTAGAGATAGTTTAGATCTATTTCATAGAGTAGTGAATGATATTTTAGTTACTGTAGTAAAACTTGAGATGATGGGGATATCTACAAATTAAACAGTATGTTCAATAATATTGATAAGTATGGGTTTTATTAGTTATTATGTAATCCCTATGAATATAATATTTTAAAATATAAGAGGTGCTATTATAGTAATCAATTTGATATTTATAACAATGGTTGTAGGAGTGACTGTATTAATGAATTTGAGTGAATAATGGTTGGAAAGATAAATATTGAAGATTATATTGTTTATTAAATAGTCAGATAAGAATTTATAGATGATAATTTTGAATAATCTTAATGGACATGGAAATAGAAATTTTAAGACTACATTAATGTATTCATTAGGATTAGCATTTATTATATTTACAGGAGCTTAATTCACTTTATAAGCAGAATTTATGAATGATTTCATTAAAACAAGTCTAACTTCAGATATAATAATATTTGATGCTTCAATTTAGAGATTAGGATTAGATGAATATAAATTTAGACAACATTTAGAATGGGAGAAAGTTAATGATCCAACTTTTATATAAGATTATACATTTAGTGCAGTAAATTTAAATGAGATTCCTGGTATACCTAGATTTTTTTAAATTTCTCCTTTAGCTCATTTTCCAAGAAGAAGAATACGTTTATAAGCTGTCGAAGAAAATTACTTATAGGTTATCAATTATCAATATTATTATCCAACAGAATATGATACTAAATAAACATCTATTGAATATTTACCTAATGGTGTAAGAGATGGTGTTAAAGATATATATAATAATGAAGGTAAATTAGATATTGCAAAAACTTCTGATGTTTATGGAATTGCAACCAATAATCATGCATAAAATAATTATAAGGCAATGTTAAATATGATTAATAATATTACAAATTAAACTGAAGAAGTTGATAAAGAAATTAATGTAATAATACCTGAAGGATATAGATATGAAGATGGTGTAGATGTTAATACACCTGCTTTATTAAGAATATATTTTAGAGATAGAGGTAGAGCTATAGAAAGAAGATTAAAAATTAAACATATGGCTATTAAAATACCTAATAATGCTTTTAGTGGTTATAGGACAGTTGCATTATTTGGAGAAGGATTAATAACTATGAAAGATGCTTAAATGTTAATTAATGAAATTCTTAATAGTAGAATAGAAGAAAATAAATTTAATAATTAAAGGGCTCATTAATATTTTTAAAAATTGCCCAAAAATCTTACTTATGGGTTACCAAAAGATAATCTATTAATCAAATTTAAAAGAGTCACAACAAAAGAAGAAAGAATAGATTTTAGTAATAGATTAAGAAATTATTTTACTAATGATCAAATCTATTTATTTGATACCATTACTATGACAGAGACTTCAAAAGATTTCTTTAAATATTTGGAATTGTTTAACATAGTTGTAGCAGCCATAGCCCTTATTTTATCATTCTTTTTACTATTAGTGTCCTTTATTGGAAATGTTAGAAATACTTCATGGGAGATTGGAATTCTAAGAGCAGTTGGATTAAATGAAGTAATATTTTATAAAGTATTTATAGAATTAAATCTCTAAAGTTTTTGTTTATGAATCAATAACTTTGATTATATCATCTGGATTAATAGGAACTATTATTGGATTAGTCATAGCAACTACATTTACACTTTAAATAGTTGCATTCTCAGAGTTTAAATTCAAATTTGCATTTCCTACTTTAACTTTTTTAACCACTTTTCTAGGAGGAATCTTTATTTCAATTTATGCAAGCTATTTAGCAGTTAGAAGTTTCAAATTCAAATCAATAGCTTCTATTTTAAAAGGACAATCATGAAATTATATTATTATGATCTCAAAATCAAATCAAAATAATATTTTATTATCTTTATTTATCTATATATATTCTTCAAATTCATTCTTATGTAAATCATTTTATTAAAATTAATCTAATCTCTAATAAAATTAATATTTTATATTCAATCATATTAGTCTTCTCTATTTCTATTTCTAATTTAATTATAAACTTAATTCATAATTTAAAAAGATGCTGACTAATCAATAAAGCAAATTATTAAAAAATTAACACAATTTAATGTATAATATATAATGTACATTTCTTTCATCAATCAAATAAGCCACCCATATCAACATCTTCTTCTGGTTCTGGAGCCTTTTCAACTGGCTTCTCTTCAGCCTTTTTAACTGCTTATGCTTATGCAGCAACTGGAGCTGATGCTTGGGATGCTAAAATAATTAATATTTCTTCTTCTTACATCCTCCTCCCAAAGAAAGTGTACCTACTTTCTTCAATCCTTCTGTTATAACTTCTTATAATGACTTTCCTTTCAAAGCTTCCACTAATGACTTGATTTCTGCATCTGATCCTGTAACACCAACTTCAGCCAATAATCCCTTTACATCAGCCTCACCTAAGAGTTTAACTAATTATCATACTAGGATTTGCTTTTCCACCTAAATTCAATAAAGCATATGCAGCAACGTATTACATTGAATTTTATTTAAAAATTTATTTTAAATCTCATAAATACTTAATAAACTCTAATTTTTTTAATTTCTTAAAAATAATCAATTAATAAAATTATTAACCATTTCAAAAATTGACCTAAATACTTTCTAAGACTTTATAACTTATAATTTCTCACTTTATCATACAAATAAAATTATAATTCATTTCTAATATTGTATTTTTATATACATATCCCAAAAATAACTTATTATAATAAATTGATGAAATTACAATTATATGATCTCTTTTTTAGTTAAATAACATGGTTTCTATTAATTATATTATTATCATTTACATATAATATAAATAAGATTAAGTTGATAAGTTCATATTTAAAATATTTCAATAAATTTTTATAGCTTTTGTTCAATAAAAAAGTTTGAATAGAATGAATAACCTAAGAGTTGATAAAATTTTAGGGAATTATCGTTAAATCTTTTCAAATACTAATTTAATTTGAACACATACAACTTTGTCTTTAAAATGGACCAGTATTTTAATTTTTTATTAATTTTAACAGCTATCCTTTTTTCTGGTATCAAAGTACTCCAAAATGTATATACTGATAGGGGATTTAAATTTAAGGTTTTGGCAATAGAACAAAGGATTAGATTTATTAGATAAATTAACAAAAATTATATAATTAATGGGAATTTTGCATACTAGTTGTGTAAGAGAGTGTACGAATAGAGATTAAAATTCTAATTAAGAATTACAGGTGATTTAGAATAAATAGATTTAAAAAATATAACATCATTTAACAAATGAATATGAGACATCAAAGACAACATTAAAAGGAACAAGTTAGTTAAGTGATACAGAAAAATTTATGGAAATAAAGGAAGAGGATTAATCTAGTAATTTAAAAATAAATCCAGTACCAGCATTTGTTTTAAATAAATAATTGCATTAATTTATAGTTCCAAAAAGAGAAAACCGATTTATTTAAGATATTGAATATGAAGTCAAATAAAAAATTCAACAAATGTACTTATACCTTAAAAAGTGTAGATAAAATAAGGAAAAATTTAAAGCTTTATAATTAAAGTATTCCAAAATAAATGATTAATAATAACCATAAAAATTTGATAAGTGTTCCTCCAATGTTCTAAATTATATTAATAAATAACATGTANTTTCCTTTCAAAGCTTCCACTAATGACTTGATTTCTGCATCTGATCCTGTAACACCAACTTCAGCCAATAATCCCTTTACATCAGCCTCACCTAAGAGTTTAACTAATTATCATACTAGGATTTGCTTTTCCACCTAAATTCAATAAAGCATATGCAGCAACGTATTACATTGAATTTTATTTAAAAATTTATTTTAAATCTCATAAATACTTAATAAACTCTAATTTTTTTAATTTCTTAAAAATAATCAATTAATAAAATTATTAACCATTTCAAAAATTGACCTAAATACTTTCTAAGACTTTATAACTTATAATTTCTCACTTTATCATACAAATAAAATTATAATTCATTTCTAATATTGTATTTTTATATACATATCCCAAAAATAACTTATTATAATAAATTGATGAAATTACAATTATATGATCTCTTTTTTAGTTAAATAACATGGTTTCTATTAATTATATTATTATCATTTACATATAATATAAATAAGATTAAGTTGATAAGTTCATATTTAAAATATTTCAATAAATTTTTATAGCTTTTGTTCAATAAAAAAGTTTGAATAGAATGAATAACCTAAGAGTTGATAAAATTTTAGGGAATTATCGTTAAATCTTTTCAAATACTAATTTAATTTGAACACATACAACTTTGTCTTTAAAATGGACCAGTATTTTAATTTTTTATTAATTTTAACAGCTATCCTTTTTTCTGGTATCAAAGTACTCCAAAATGTATATACTGATAGGGGATTTAAATTTAAGGTTTTGGCAATAGAACAAAGGATTAGATTTATTAGATAAATTAACAAAAATTATATAATTAATGGGAATTTTGCATACTAGTTGTGTAAGAGAGTGTACGAATAGAGATTAAAATTCTAATTAAGAATTACAGGTGATTTAGAATAAATAGATTTAAAAAATATAACATCATTTAACAAATGAATATGAGACATCAAAGACAACATTAAAAGGAACAAGTTAGTTAAGTGATACAGAAAAATTTATGGAAATAAAGGAAGAGGATTAATCTAGTAATTTAAAAATAAATCCAGTACCAGCATTTGTTTTAAATAAATAATTGCATTAATTTATAGTTCCAAAAAGAGAAAACCGATTTATTTAAGATATTGAATATGAAGTCAAATAAAAAATTCAACAAATGTACTTATACCTTAAAAAGTGTAGATAAAATAAGGAAAAATTTAAAGCTTTATAATTAAAGTATTCCAAAATAAATGATTAATAATAACCATAAAAATTTGATAAGTGTTCCTCCAATGTTCTAAATTATATTAATAAATAACATGTATTTTTATTAATAATAATGTTAGGATTCATTAAAAAATGAATATAAAATAGAAAATCATGCATAAAATGAATCTAAAAGTAATTTGAATTATCTTTAGAGTTCAAGTTTAGTGATTGAAAAATTATAAAGCACATAATTAGAATGTATTAGTGCACCGAATAAAGAGATAAGGGGAATATTAAAAAGTGATTCACTTAAAAAATAAAGTAATTCTGTTGATGTAAAATCTGTTAATTCAAATAAAAGGGTTCATTTCTCTGAGGATATAAAAATTGACTCAGAAGATTTATTATATAAATTTAAGTGGAGAAATTTTAGAATAGCATGAGTTATTAAAATTATTCTCAAAAAATAAAACTATTTTGTATCAAATATGAAATTAATAATTTATGAAAAATAACAAAAAATAAATTTCATGAAAAAGTTTTTAATAATAGAACACTATTCTCAATTCATCTTAATTTGAGACAATAGGTTTTAGTTTTTATTTAAATGTATTAAAATGATTGATTTCAATTAATTAACTATGAATGAATAATAGTTAATGAGAATAACATGAATTTTTATTCAAATAAGAATTTATCAGTAATATAGAAAGAATTGATTAATATTCATTTAAGGGATTTATAGAAATAAATATCTTTAACTTTTATTTAAAATGTAATAATAGGATACAAACTTTGACGAAAATTTATACTCAAGACAAGTGGCTGTATTGGGAGCTGAAACTTAATCGAAATTGATCTAAATGAAATGTTTCATTCATGGTTTGAGAGGGGTATATAGTTTTCTTATGGCAAGTTGGGATTAGAGATTGCAAAGAATTTGATATTAGCTGGACCAAAATCTGTAATTGTATACGATCCAACAGTATTATCTATTTCAGATTTGGGTTCAAATTTTTATGCTACACTTGAATAAGTTGGAAAAGTCACAAGATAAGATGCAGCAATTAAATCATTAAAAGAATTAAATCCATATGTGAGTGTAGAAATATACAATGGATAAGTGAATGGAGCAAGTTTGAGTGAATTTTCAGTTGTGGTTCTTACTGATGTTTGGGATTAGAAATTTATTACAGAAGTAAATGAGGCAGTCAGATAAAAAGGACATGGATTTATATTGGCTCATTCTTCAGGATTATTTGGATCTACATTCGTTGATTTTTCAGATGTAAAACTTTTTTATTTATATTCTTTAATAGAAATTTTAAATTTTTGATCCTAATGGTGAAGAACCTAGATAGGCAATTGTAGCTGGAATAACAAATGAATTAGAAGGAATAGTAAGTACAATTGAAGATAAGAGACATGGATTTTAAGATGGAGACAGTGTAACATTTAAAGAGGTAGTTGGAATGACAGAAGTAAATGAGAAAATATTTAAGATAAAGGTATATTAATATATTTATAAATATTAAAGGTTAAATCACCATATATGTTCAGTATTGGAGATACAACAAAGTTTTCATAATATATGAGAGAAGGAATTGCAGTATAAGTGAAGGTTCCTGAAGATATTGAATTCAAATCATTTAAGGCATCATTGAGTCATCCTTTTGCACCAGGCAAGAATGAATTAGATTTAATGGATTGGGAAAAGATTGGAAGACCAGAATAATTACATATTGCATATAATGCATTATTATAATTCACATTATAAAATGGTAGATAGCCAGGATTATTGAATTAAGATGATGCACAAAAAGTATGGGAATTAGCATAATAAATTAATAATTCAGATAGAGGAGAAGGAGCATTAAAAGCAGAATTAGATGAACAATTAGTAAAAAATACTTCATTGTATTTCTCAGCATAAATAACCCCATTAACATCATTCTGGGGTGGTATTATAGCATAAGAAGTAGTCAAATATACAGGTAAATTCACACCAATTAGATAATGGTTACATAGTGAATTCTTTGAAGCTTTACCTGAAACAGAAGTTAATAGAACATTATTAAATAGTTAATATGATGATTATATTGCAATCTTTGGAAGAGAAGCATTATAATAATTATAAAATTCAAAGATATTTATGGTAGGTGCAGGTGCTTTAGGTTGTGAATATATAAAAATGTTTGCACTTATGGGATGTGGAAATGGAGCCAAAGGTTTAGTTACTGTTACTGATGATGATAATATTGAGATTTCTAATTTAAATAGATAATTCTTATTTAGAAAAAATAATGTTGGTTCTAATAAAGCAGCTACAGCATGCAGAGTTGGTGAATTAATGAATAAAACTTCCAAATTTAAATCTTATGCCCTTAGAGTAGGCAAATAAAATGAACCAATATTTAATGATCAATTTTGGGATGGATTAGATATAGCTGTAAATGCTGTTGATAATGTTCATGCAAGAAAATATATTGATTCATAATGTTGCTATTATGGTAAACCTTTATTTGAAAGTGGAACCCTTGGAACTAAATGTAATTCCTAATTGATTCTACCCAATCAAACATAATCTTATAGTGAATCATAGGATCCACCTGAAGATACTATTCCTTTATGTACATTGAAAAACTTCCCTTATTAAATTGAACATACAATTTAATGGGCTAGAGATTACTTTGCAGGATTCTTTGAAGATGGATCTCAAGATTGTATCAAATATCTAGAGAATCCAGTAAATTACATTAAAAGAATTTTGAATGAACTTAAATCTCAACCAGGTGTATTAAGACCAAAATTAGAATCAGTTAAGAAATTTGCTGAAGTTGCTTAAAAACCTACTTTAAATGCTATTGTTGTTTTAGCTAAAAATATGTTCTAAGACATTTTTTGTAATTAAATTAAATAATTACTTTACTGTTTCCCACCAGATCACAGAACTTCAGAAGGATAATTATTTTGGACTAATCCTAAAAGACCACCAACTCCAATTGAATTTGATCAAAGTGATCCTCTTCATCAACTTTTTATTCATAGTGCTGTTAATATTTTCTCATAAATCTTTGGTTTACCAAAATAAGATAAATTTGATGAAATTGCAAAACTCTTACCAACTATTTAAGTCTAAGAATATGTTCCAAAATAAATGTAAATAAAAGAAAATGAGAAAGATTAAAAAGAAGAGAAATCTGAAGATGATGAAACATAAATTTAAGCTTTAGCTCAAGAATTAGAAAAGTTGACTCTTGAAAATAAAGAAGTAACTAAATAATTACAAGAATGTGCATTTGAAAAAGATGATCCAACTAATTGGCATATTGATTTCTTATCTGCAGTCTCTAATCTAAGAGCAAGAAATTATAAAATCCCAGAAGTTTCATCATTTTAAGTTAAGTTAATTGCAGGTAAAATCATTCCTGCTTTAGCTACTACAACAGCTATGATTGTAGGAGCAGTTGGATTAGAAATCTTTAAATATATTCTTAAGAAGAATGTTGGAAAAATGAGAAATGCCTTCATAAATTTAGCCTTACCACTCTTTCTATTTTCAGAACCATTACCACCTGGAGAACATTAAGATTAAGAATATAATGTTTTATTATTGGGACCAACAAAAGCAGTACCACCAAGTAATTATTTAAATATATTAATTTTTAGAATGGACAGCTTGGGAAAGAATTACAATTACTTAATAAATGACTCTTGGATAATTCATTTAGTATTTCAAAGAAAAATATGATGTGAATGTTTCTTCCATCACTGTAGAATAATATATGATTTATACCAATTATCCAGCTCCATCATA